GATAAATTGACCTCCAATATAGACTTTGAATGGCGTGTAATTAATCCTATATCAACAGGATAGATCTAATATGTATAAAAAAAGTTTTTATGTATTTTGCTTCCTTACCTTCCCTATTCTAGAGCCATAACAAAATAGCTATGGAACGGAGGAAAAATTAAGAAAACCAGGCCACCCGTGCCTTTGAACCCTATATAATCTTCTTGTACATTTATTCTCCATAAGTACATTGCAGGCAGGTTAATTTGTTGCTTTTATTTATTTTCGAAAATAATAATAATGATAATCATCATCATCATCATCATCTAGCTCTTAATTTGTCCCTTGTAAGTGTTTTCCTTTTTCTTTGATGTTGCTTTCCAGAGTTTAGCTTTAATCAAATCCAAAAGTATTCCTGATATGGCTTGGTTGCGTCCTTTGGGAAAATCCATAGAGAACCTTACACAGTCCAGTGGACATCGGCAATTCAGGACCGGCCTGAAAAGGCAAATATAGTCAAGACAAATATCATTGAGTATATGAATTCGAGGCCTCGAGAGCAATTATTTTCAAGCCTAATTGTAGAGACCCAAATTTCCCAAGTATGATTTTAAATAAGAAACAAATGCTGAAAAAGCACCTGAACATTCTCAACTTCCAAATCATGAACCCAAATGAAACAATCAAAATATTTCATTTATCAGCAAGTGCAAAAGTCGTGGTCATAACCGTTTGAATCTTGCATTTTTGGAATTTAAGGAAAAAAAAAAGGTATTGATTTTAAAATGTGAATGTTTAAAAGCATTGCATGGGAACAATTTTCTACACGAATTCAGGATAAGACATCGATTGAAAACATCGAGAGATCCGATGGAAAAGCTTTATCATAACTGATATGTAGATTTATTTTCAGTCTGACATGACCGAGAATAGTTCTACACTAATACAAAATGTTTTCTTTGACCTATGTGCAAATTTCAATTGCGTATGGTGTTTTTTTTAACAGCACTTTTTCACCTCTTCTTGCCCAAATAAACTCTTAGTTTCCTTACCGACAACAACAACACAACAAACTTTATTGCACCGGTCAAATATGTTTTGGATAAATTGCAAGCAAATATCAATTATAGTTATGAAAGGTTACAGCACCTTGAAATAACTAAAAAGCTAAAAAGTTTCAGGGAGCCATATTAAATTAGGTTAATCAAATGTTTACAGCATTCTTTTACACTACCCGAACCATACTACCCATACAGTGCTACAGTTCCTAACCTGTCTAACCAACGTTGACATAATCTCTCTTTCAATTTTGAACCTTCTCAAACGAATTTTGTATTCAAAGGCAGGCAATTCCTAAGAGTCAGGTATCATATCAAGACTATAATTACTGCTGCATCTTTTTGATAAAAATACATTTGACTCCTAAGTTTATCCCCAATAAATACTCAAAGTTGCGTGTCGATTTAAGTATTTTATTTTTTACCGAGGCTATAATTAAATGTCCTCCATTCTCTTTACCTAATATCTTTCCTTCCCCCTGGCCATTCTGGAAGGATACCCCAAAGTAGTTCTACGTGTCTAGCTACAGAGCCATATACGAATAGCCTTGGGCCCAATATACAATCTTCGAACAAGAGCGAACAGAAGCCTTCTTTTCCACCAAATTTTCGCTCGTAATTCTTGCCTTCACATTTATACACCAAAGTAACAACCCGGTTGTCGTTTTACAAATTCGGTCCGGTGTAGCTCCCATTCTTACCAAAACAATGGTAAGGTTAATTATGTAAAACGGCATTAGGAAAAAGGTCAAATTTGCACCTACAAAAATAACGCGCTTTTAAGTAAAACCGTACAAGGTAACTACAGAGTGTTTTTACTTACGTGCTAGTAAGCATGAAAATTTAACAAAGAAAAGACAGTCTTTAAGACAGTTCTACTCCAACAGGATTGGTTTGATACACAAATATGACCACCGTTTCACTGTTTGGAACCCCAATATGGCCGCGCTGACTTCATGCGAAGACGTTCTATATTAAATAATGTTCATTAACTAACACATTGTTCAGACAGTTAGGCACCCAGACCTTGAAATTCCCTCATTGTCTAGGCTGTCGTTGTTTCCTGCTAAATTAATCAAAAATTCCTACTTTCTATACAAGGAATATCCTTTAGTTCTTTTTGTGGTATAACCTAAATAGTTTTTCGTCTCCTGGTACCACCTTGACCCTAAACTTGAGAGACAGGGAAACCACACTTAACAGAATGAGCTCTAATATCTTCGTTTTCATATGGGCTTTATCCCAAGAATTTTGTTGTACTTGATTGGGTGTGTAAATCAATACAATTAATCCAATTAGTGGCCTCACAATGGATTTGTGCATGGATTCTGAAAGCCCCTCGAATTATTACGGACCAACATGTTGTAAAGTGCAATGCTGTTCACAGGATCTTGTTTCATCATTAGTGAAGCGTTTGTCTAAGAGACCGTGACAGGTGTGTTATTTCAGGCGTAGAAGAAGGACATGTGCTGTGAGAAGCAAGCCGGTCGTGTTCGTGTAACTTTT